AGAAAACCATCGGTGCTTTGTTGTTCTCTGCTGTAGGTCAGGACTAAGCCTAGGTGCTATTCAAGAGCTTGTGGCTTCCTAGGTTGCGTTAAGCATTGAGGTACATCGTCTCACTATGAGACCATTTTGCAGATTCTTCCCATACAACTCGCTCCTTTACCACTCCTCCATCTCCTCAAAGTTTTATGCGTAGAGCGGGGCGGAGCAAAGGAGGAAGAGGGTGAACACCTCCAGTCAGCTAATCAAATTAGTAGTTTTGCGCTGGCGTCGCCTCAACAAACGACGCCCCCCCCCTGCAACACCCCCTCTCTCCATTGGCCCAGTGACGACCCTTGCGTGTTTAACCATAAGGAGGTTGAGCCTGCTCTCTTAGCCTCACAAACCCTGCTCTTATGGTAGATTTGAGAAGATTTGAGAGATTTCTTGGAAAAACCTTCGACGCTAAAGTGTCGAGTTGCAGCGAGTGGCAGAATACTCCTTCCCTAACGCTTGTCTGTGGGCGGGGCTATTACCGAAGAAGGGCCTTAATTGCCGCCATCGGACAGAGTAAAAGTTCCATGGCGGAGGTGCCGTACACCGCCTACTTAAGTTCTCTTTACACTGGGCCTGCTATCCTATACTTCCAGCCAAATTATTTTTGCCCACTCCCTTCAAGCGAAACAAGTCTTGGTTGAACGTTTGGAACCGTGTAGTTTACATGCGATTCGTGCCTGAAATTGTCTGCCGGTTTTTTAGAGGAGCTCGATTCCATAGACTCCACCAGTTTTATTACTGTTGTTAAATGTCGTTTTAGTCGAAGGCCCTCTATCATGATGCGGAACACCGCTTCCTCTCTGGACTGCCTCACTGTTCACAACGGTCTCGTGGGTTCCAAAAAAAAACTAAGAATTTCACGTTTATTGTTGCCTTCACAAGAGGATACGGTACAATACTGGTTGTACTTGATGCCTTCGTTGAGCTGCTATTGCTGCTGAGCCGCTCAGCAAAAGCTCTGAAAACACCGAAATTAGGATATCAACATTCTCAAGAAAGCAATCGCAAACTTATTGAACACATACAGAACAGTCCCCATCAAAATGGACGAACAGCAATCGAGCAGTAATCGCTTTCAGAACTTTTCCGTTGAGCTGTCGTCAAAAGGGAAAATTTTGCTTGTTTGGGCTTCATTTTTCCTCATCTTTCCAGCTATATGAACGAAGCATACTGTAGACAAAGACACTATACTGATGATTATTACAGTGTAGTGTTGAATCGACAAATAAGGGCTGGTGAACATCAGGATTGCACTCGCCAATGCCTGAAACTGTAATATTTGTGAAAAAAAATTGACAATGTACTACTGGTTTTTTAGAGTAGCAGGGGGTGAAAGGCGACAGAGCAGCTATGCCGCGTCACCTCTGCTTGTCTGCACCCTCTCACGAAGAAGGAAAGGCGTAAAACCGTTCCAAGGCTTTGAAAAGACGACGACGAAAGAAGGCGAACAAGGAAACACTTGGAATAGTCGTGCCACAGCCCAGTTCCCGAGCTGCCCCTCTCTAGATCCTTTCCTCAAGGCAGCGTTCAAACTTCGCGATTACACGCTGTTGCGAGCGTCGACATGATGCAGAACCAACAGCGCCCCCAATGCTGTAGACTCGGAGGCTACGCGTCGCTCAGTCATGCCAGCGCCATCGATTGTCGGTTGCGGCCGGACTGGCGTCCATAGCGTTGAAGCGCTGTTGCAACATAGCGCGTTCAGCTGCGTCGACGCGCGTCATCGCGAAGTCTTAACGGTACCTGAGAGCTTGAGGCGTAGCGTAGTTGGGAGAAACAGCTGTGGCGCTTCTGAGTCCCTTTCCCTAACGAAGGCTTGCCTTTTAATCTATTATGACAAGTCACCTGATAGAACTTCGAAATGGCAAACGTCTGTGCTCGTTTATCGGGCAGAGCCAGAGTACAGATCACATTCCGAACGTTATTCGCACACGAATCCGCCATACCAATGAGGAAAGCGATTGCAGTCGATAGCATCATACTGAAAGTCAAGCGTGAACTAAAGTCGTGCACAAAGAAATAACAGAACAAACAAGAATGTAGTAAGAGTACAGTACCTGGGCTGAATAATCCAGGCAGGTTCATCGGTAAGCTGAACGGTTGCCCATGTCGGTACCGAAGCCACAATCAGTAACATTGCAAAGGTTGTGAGTCCGAATCCTATGAACATCGTGGGTTCCAGCCCAAAATCTTTAATTCGTTTCGACATCGTGCTGATGATCACTCCCACTGAAAAAGATAATTTGTCTAATAGGCCATGGAGAAGCGCCCAGCTTCTCTCTACATAATGCCCGTGCATGACTGTAGACCCTGAAGTTCTTATTTATTGTGTCAAAGAACTTGTTAGGTGCACTCCTTGTTGAATTCGGCCCGACGGTTTGACTCCTCGTCCTCAGGGGCCTAAACCTGACTCAAGGTTCAGATGTGGCACCTCCACCAAACGCTTCGACTCCCCACCATTTTCAATTTAATCCTGAATTCTCTCCACAGCCATCAAAAACGGCCCGCCCCTCTTCGATGAGATCTACACCCCCCAGATCCTGGTTTACCTCTCATACCAAGAAATCCAGCTTCTACATCAAAAGCAGACTCACTGGCAACCTCTCCAAGACCAACGCCCAAGCTGTAGAGTGCAGGCAGGTAGATATGAGTAGAGAGCGATTTGGTGAATATCAATGACGTTGGATAGACGGATATCCAGAACGCGGTGAAAAGTCCCAAATGGAGGAACAGGGGTGACAAAATGATTAGTCGCTTGTCGATGAAAATCTGCCGGATCTGTCCTAAACTTGAGGCCTCTATATCTGAGCATAAGAGCGAGAACTAACTAAATACTCACTCATTTCCTCACGGAACTCTCCCTTATCCCTCGTTTGCTTCCCTTCGATACAACCGTCGATTTCACGTGATGGCGTGAAAGCGAAAATGAGATTAGCGCAGAACGTTATGGCGGCGAATGCACCGTACATCATTCGTATTTCGAGGTCAGAGAATTGGCGATAGGCAGCCTTATGAGGGCTTGAGGGCTCAGTCACATTCGACAGCGTTTCCACCAGAGGCATGATGGGGCTGGTGTTCAACGAGAAGATCACAGCCAATATTCCTGATCCCATAACCATACTGGAACGAGAGCCTGCTTCAGATCACCTTTCGACAAAGGTTATGTTCGTCATAGCATTATTTTGTTCGGAAGCAGTGAGCACGACGGCTGGATCCCGGCGGTTGCTGCCAACGTCATTGGTGGAAGGGCTAAGCGGAGTGTGGCCGATTCACATTCGCTTGCACCAATGACGTTGGCAGCAACCGCCGGCCCCCAGCTTTTGTGCCCACTGCCTTCAGACCACATACCACAAACACGCAATCGTCCACGAGATGGCCGCGTTTTGCTCGAGAGTTTTCCTTGTTGAGTGAGATGTAAGATAAGATCCATGGCCAGTGTAATACACTGAAATGCATGCTTTTTGGGCCACAGAACTTTTCCATTTCACCAAATTCTCATAAGACAGAATAACTATTATTTACACATTCTCTGGAGCGTGAACTGCGGCGCTGAAGG